GAAACTTTTGTCTGTCTTTTGAGGTGGAGTCTGTTGTTTACCTTAATTTTGTGAATCTAGTGTAGAGGAGAAATCAAGTGGTTTACCATGCCCCTAGTTCTGTCAGGTCTTGTGGAGTTAAGTGGTTAAATGCAGGGAAGGTGACGTGCTGTGGGCAGGAATGAATGAATGAGAGAAGGAACTGGAGAAATGGCTGTGCTGCCAAAGCAGCAGCTTGTGTACTGATGGTCTGTGGTGTCTCTCTGCATTTAGAACTTTTGATGTCAGTGTGCTACTTTTCTGAAAACAAAGGAAATTTCACTCCGTTTTTATTTGTGCCGTTGGGATGGAGCTAAACATATACTAGCTAAGTCCATAATAGGAAAACACAATACATGGTAAAAGGCAGGAATGAGAGCACAGACAATACAAACCTCTGCTTCAGATTGGATTTCTTTAATTCTCTTTTAGATACAACACTAATGCTTTTTGAGTAAGTGTTTGGTTTCTCATGAGAAGTTTTAGCTTTTCTGTGTGTCTTTCCTTTGTCAAATGAAAGAGAAGAGGAGAAGAGGAGGCTGAGGGGAGACCTGACCGCCCTCTACAACTACCTGAAAGGAGGCTGTAGGGAGGTGGGGGTCGGCCTCTTCTTTCTGGTAACAGATGATAGGACGAGGGGGAATGGTTTGAAGCTGCGCCAGGGCAGGTTTAGGTTAGATATTAGGAAAAACTTCTTCACTGAAAGGGTTGTCAGGCTCTGGAATGGGCTGCCCAGGGAGGTGGTAGAGTCCCCATCCTTGGAGGTATTTAAAAGAAGGATAGATGAGGTGCTTAGGGATATGGTTTAGTGGTGGGATGGCAGGGTTAGGTTAACGGTTGGACTCGATGATCTTAAAGGTCTTTTCCAACCAAAGTGATTCTATGATTCTGTGAAGTCATGGAGTAACAGCTTTATGGCTGAAGCAAAAGAAACAAGCCCTCCCTAACTAGTATGCAAAACTGGCAAGGTAGTTAAGAAGCTGGCTTGAATACTCCAGAGTACAACCTTCCATTTCAAAGTCCTGTGTTTTCTTGAGGAAGTAGCTGCTTCAGTAAATATAATACACTTCACTGCACTTCTTAGCCTGGCTTGTTACTGTAGTGCCTGCAGAACACAGGCCATTGTAACTCAGCACTTCTTAATATTTCCCATTTAGGTAAAGGTAATCTAAATAGGCACTGATAGCAGCAAAATACAAATAACCTTTCTTCTTGCACTAATGGGTGTATATATAGGCAAAGCATGATTTTTGATATTGCTATTCATTTGTTGCAAATATTTTGATAGCTATCCATTATTTGTGTATTTACTTACCAAATTTTAAAACATTGTATAATATGGAGACTGTGGTGTTCACTTGGTGGATAATGGGAAAACAGACAAACTGAGTCACAGCGCGTTGGTGAGCAGCTACAAGGGGAAGCTGGGCCAAAAATATCTTGTAAAACTGGGGCAGATTATAATGCAATTTCTGATTTTTATCAGGACTGAGTCAAGAGCAGCTGTATATGTACGTATGCACATATATACAGTTGCAGTGTACATGCACATGTTATTTTCGAATTGTTTTATAAAACGATAGATGTATTTCTAGGCTGCGACCAGGTGTTATGATGCAGTAGATGCTGGCTTACTACTTAGGTGTTGTGTGACGAGTGGCCTGATTCGTGCAAGAAATGCAACTCAGTGTGCTTTGTTAGTGATCTTGGTGGTCTGTGGTTTTTTTCTTGATGTCAGAACACCTGCAGAAAGGGGCATGTCCCTTCCTCACTTTTTCTGAAGTACAGGTTGGAGGTCTTAGTTCAGAGAAGGTTCTAAGCACACTGATGATGCCCATCTCATCTTAAGAAACTTGACTTGAATTCCAGTTTAATGATAATTCATTACAGTGGTGGTTGAAGAGATACTTTCTTGGGAGAGAGAGTGAGTTTTCATGAACTTAGGCCTCTATAATATTTACTTCATGCTAAAATCAGATGTAATCTGTAGTTCTTGAACTGATACTGTAAAATAAACCTGTTTTGCTCATCACTTCTGAAATTGCATTGAGTGCTCAACCTGAAAGTAAGAGCTAGATAGAATTACATTTACTACGTTATGTACAAAGGGCCTTTATTTTATAACCAACCACAGGCACTTTGTAACTGTAGGTAAAGAATCCCTCTTGGCACAGGCAGTGTAAGGGAATGTGTTTTCACTTTTTCTGTTCATTGATAGAGACGCTTAAGAATTTTTAGGAAACCGAAAGAAGGAATTAAGCAACTGGCTAAATCTTGTCTTTTAAAATGCTGGTTTATAGTATAACTTGTTTTAGAGTCTCTGGATCATTGATTGTTCTTTTGCAGTGATTTTTCTTGTATTGTTTTGAAAAGTCGATTATTAGATATGCCAGTAGTAATGTCGTGTAAATTTTTTTGCTGCAAATAACAAAGCAAAGAAATCTTTTTCAAGTTTACATTTTGTGTAAGAAGCCATGCCAAGCAGATTTACATCCAGCCATGCACTGTCATGTTTTAGACTGATATATCACACAACTTCCCTGTCAACATCTTGGAGCTGACATCTGTCAACACCAACATTGTGGCTTATCCAGGGAGCAGACAGCACAGCTGCTGTTTAGTTCTCCCCAGTGATTTAACTCAAACCAAAATATCTCAAGGCTCAGTCTTCCTAATTTCCCTGAGACTGCCAAACCCATTTTTTTAAAGTAAGGGATGTGAATGTCTCTTTAGTGGGAACTTTGAGTGACAACTCGTTTCATAAACACTGCTGAGTATCTGTTGGATAGTGTTTTGTTGCTACTGCTCTTGATGCTTTGCAGCAGGTTTCAGACTCTTTCAGTCATTTCCCAAGAGAAACAAGAGCACAGGAACAGCAATCTCTCTCCTCCTGCACCACCAGTTTTACCATACACTAAATACGATGGAAGACATTTGAAAATGGAGCTCTAACAAGCACTATCTTTACAAATCCTAGAGCAATAGGTCTGATGAGGAGTTGGGCTGTCCCCTTCATCTGGGAAAACCCTGAACTTGGTTTGATCATCTAATTGTATGAATTTTACCTTATCCATGATGGCACAATTTTTAGTGGCATTTTGCTTTGGGATTGGCTCACTCTGCTGTAGCAGATGTCCTCTTCTGCTTTTTTCAGAGTTGAAGGCTGTTTTCCATCTCTTTCTACAAAGAAGATGTAGCTTACTATAGAGCAACTAAAATAGGATGGAGAACCCGACTCCGATATGCAGCTTACTGAATCAGTGGCCTCTACAAGCAAGTGGTTCTGTAAACCAGTACAGATGCTGTGGACCTTGGCATGTGTGCCTTGAGTGTGTGTGGGTGGCACCCAATGCATTGCAAACTGTGTGGCTCCACAACTTACAAATTGTATCTGTGGGAACAGGGCTCAAGTATTTGTGCTGATCACAAAGTTGTTTACCCAAAGCAAGTTGTCTCGCAGTATAGACACTGCTGTTTTTCTACTGAGTCCCTCCATCTTCCTGAGGGACATTAGTTAACCCAAACTGAGGTGAGCATCTGCTAAAATTGACTGTCATCTCAGCTTTGAGAGATCCACAGCTGATGGGTTTTCTGCATGGGATCAAGGCAGGTTGGTGCCTTGAGAGTGCAGAATCCTTTCTCTTCTGCAGGTGTTTCTTCCTCTGAAGCACAGTTTCTCCTCCCTTCACTGTTCTCTCTGCTTTCTCCAATTCTTGTTTGCTGCTGTGTGACACCAGTAGGCTTCCTAGGTCTTTTTTTCATTTTTCCCTGACAAAGCTTGCTGTCTTGCTTCAAAGTCACTTGAGTTTACATGCCCTAAGTTTGTACTCCTGTGTTCCATATGGAGGTTGACAGACTTAGTCTACCTGTCTTCTTATATTTTCTGCATGGTTATTAATAAGGAGAAATAAGAGGCTATGTAGGGTTTGGAAGCATGCTATGTTTCTGAGGGCAGAACTGGTAACTTTCATGGATGGATTGTATAGCAGTATTTTCAAAACATAAGTCAGATTTTATAAGTTGTACAAAGGTAATTTCTCCAAAACAACACAGAAAGTCTTCTGAATGAGCATGTACTTGAGCAATATCTTTAAAAAGCATAGGCATACTACATTTCTCTTCTTTTTTCAGCTTCCTCAGCATTTAGTCAACTTTTTCCAATAATATTTAATATTGCATCAGTCGCATCATATCCATTGCTCAACAGTTGACCGCATCTGAAGTTTACTGTCTGTGTTGCTGCAAGCATGCATATACATTTCTTTTGAGTACCAAAGTAAAACATTTTGAAAACTTGAGTTATTTTTTCTTTAACAGCAGTATGAATATTTAAAACTCAACGTTTCACGTGTTATGTTTTCTTTAGTCTTTTGTAGCTAGGGAATGAAATGCTTTCACTTCTGGCAGTTTAAGTGCTGAAGCTGTTGACTTATCTCTAGGCCCAGTCTAACTCCAGGTAGCTAACTGGCAGATTCATTTTAGAAATAGAAAAGTACTTGTGCTTTAAACAGTAAGTGCATAAGTTGGTTAAAGACTTTAAGATGGCTGCTCCTAAGCAACAGTAGCTCTATCTAGCTCACCTTGGCTCTGTAAGGAGAAATATTTGTGCGCTATCTTCTGATCTGTTGGTTCACTAAGTCAACAATGGAAGATGTTAATAGAAAATGAAATACGAGGAGGAAAGGTGGAAATTTACAAGTCCATCAGGGTTTTTAAGATGTCCTTCTTATGTAGATGTCGTCTCTAGTCCTCCATCTTAGGTCCTCTAGTCAGATTAAAACAGCCTGAGAGTATTTTCCCTCAATATTTTGCAAAACTCTGTATACATATAGTATATCTATAGTAAAGATACTGAAACCCTCTGTGTTAGTGCTTCTGTATTCATTAAGAACGTGATGTGTGAGTAATTAAGAAGTTTGAAGAATGTGTATGCTTGATAATTATAAAAGAAGACCTAATCTGAATAAATGTTTGTTTTACAGAATACTGAAACCAAGGTGGAGGAAGCAGTTAAAGAGAGTCCGAAAGCAGCCAGACTAACACAGCAGTCTTCAGAGGATAACGAAGTATTCGGTGAGTTACTCAAGACAACTGGAAAATGTTATTTGATCTGTTAGCTCAGAAAAGAGAATTCTCGCAAAGTCCTTGTGATCTACTTAATGTTGGTGTATGGCATCTGGGTGCAGGCTGTGCAGTTCCACAGGGATCTGGAAAGGTGGAGGAAAGGACCAAGAAGAAAACAAGAGGGAGATCAAAGGTTTAAAATAAATCATCTCTGAAAAAAAGAATTGCAGTTGGTTACCACAGAGAAGAAAGATTGAATGCAAATCTTCAACAAAACTAAAGATGTATGCAGTAAGAGCAAAAATAAATTTTTATCTGTCCATGATGGATAGGACAAGCAGTGAATTCTCTAAATTGCAGAAAGATTTGATTAAATATTGGGAAGGGGAATCCTAAAACAAATACAAAAACATTGGGATGCATCATCTGGAAAGTGGGGAGATTTATCACTGCGGGCCTTTAAAAACAGGTTCAACAAGTAACTGTCTAAACTGCCGTAATGTAGTTCATCTTGTGGCAGAAGAATAGACTAAATGACCTTTGAGGATACTTGGAGGTCTAGATTTCAGATGAGCTCCTCCTGATAGTTTTCTGTGAATTCCTTCCCCACCTCCCCCTCCCCTATAGATTTTGCTAGTAGTTTTATTATTTGATCCAAAAGCTATATTTGGACTTTTTTTCTGCATTAAGATTCGGAAAAGAGCCAGAAAAACCTTATTTTTCCACCTTTATGTTGTTTTTATGCTAGCACAAGTCCAATAAAAAAGCTGTAGTCTAATGTTAATGCAGGAGGGGTGAGGGCAAGGCTGAAAGCTTATCATTTGATTTAGCTCCATTATGTTTTGGAGCAGAAACCCAAAATCTGCATAAGTCATGTGGATTTTATTAAGGCTGACTAGCTTGAAAACTTTTGAATGAGTCAACTATTTATGAATACAGTAAGGAATTTTTCTTTCAAGGTACAAAAGGAATGGAGCATGCATAATTAAATCTATCTTACTGTATATAGAAAGAATGCTTGTGACCATTTGAACTGGTTTTGTTTAAAATCAGCTTTCCTCTTTGAGAAAATGTAGTATGATTGACATGTGAGCTTGAGTTCCTGGTATGAATGTTTCCGACACTGGTCATATAATGCCAGCATCTGAAGAATCCACAAGTGGACTTAAGAACTAGGTTTCAACTTTATTAATTCAGTGGGGAGGCTATTACCTCATTTCCTCTACATCTGCTGCACCAGTTATTTACAGTAGATCCAGTGTTTCTGGTTATAGAGCCCCATGGCACTGTGTAATGTGCATCTCAAACTGTGTCCTGTCTCAATTTGGATATCTCTCGTTTTCCATCTGTGAGAAGGATGGAGGCAGCAAAGGAATGAGACTTCTGTCTGCCTCTTTCTACCAGCAAAATCTCAGGCTTTTAAACCTTTTATCTCTTCTGATGACTAGCCCCAAGTAGTACCAGTGAACTAACCTAGTAGTTAGTCAAGCCTGTGGTCCATATGGAGACCATGAACTTAAACAAACAGGAATTAAAAACCAGGAAGTAGGCTTAAACTCACCATCCAGTGATCTATACCCTCACTACAAATTCTTTTACTAATTTCAAGGTCAACATGCAGTGTACTACATGGTCTTTAAAGCTAATGATTTACTAACAAATGGCTAAATATTTCCATGTTCCAACTCCGTGAACTGAACTGCTTATCTAAGATAAGCCAATCATCAGCCTCTGATAACTTGGCACCACAAGGAAAAATTCTTTCCAGCTCCAGCAACAGTCAGACTATAGTGTCTTATATCAACACTTTTACCACTTTCAAACAAACTAGACTTTCATTTGTAGTTTTTTAAGATTAGAAAAAAAATGGCAAAATAAGAAGAGGAAATAGGGTGCAAATGGAGTCTGTAATCTTCTTTTTCACCCTAGTCAAGGGAGGAAATCAAAGTGGACTGAAGGTGCAAATGAAACCACTTTAGTGTGAGATGCCCTTAGAGTCAGGGAGGAAACTTTGGCAGATACGACTTATGCCTCTCATGCTACCGTATGTGCCTCCCTTTCCTTGCAGTTTTGGGCAATTTCTTAAGATGTTCAGATCCATCTCATAGGGGTTAAATGATAAGCTTGAAACAGTTTTCCCTAGGTGAGTTATTTGTTGTCCTGGGACTTCAGTGATCAGATTACAGACCCTGCTCGGTTATCTTGCCTCTGGCTTGATCTATTTCAAGCTATTCTTCATTTCTTTCTCTTTCTTTCTCCCCAGCGATGCTAATTATAACAAGCATCAAATATGCAGCGGGAGTTGGTTAATTTATAGCTTCAGCTTTTGACTAGAATCCCTCTTCTCAAGAATTTAAATAGCCTCCAGTCTCTTTGAGCGGTGCAGCGCAGCCTTCCCTTTTCACATAGATAGTGCCTTACTTCTTTTTCACAAAGATCACTTTCCCCAGCTTTATCTGGCCCATGCCACCCCCTCCAGAAGGGTTAGCACAGGCAGAGGAGAAGTCAATTCCCGCCTGACACAGCCACTGAGTCCCCGGCAGAAAGAGGCACAGCACCCCTTGGCTTCTGCCTGCCTTTTCTGGCTGGGTGCATGGGTGTGCAGCAGGCTCTCGGAGGAGTCGGGTCCCCCGGAGAAGAGTGGCCGTCCCTCTTCGCTGAGCCACCCGGTGGCAGCAACTGCCAGTCCCTGGCAGCCACCGGAGTGCCTGGACTGCCAGGTCAAAGGCTCCTTAGCAAAGGAGATGGGAATCTCTTGCTTTGCTCTTGTCTCCCCCCTCTCCAAGGTTAGTATTGTCTTGGACCAAGTGATTTGAAAATATGATTTACTGGCAGCCAGGAATCTGCTGTACTCCGGACAGGATTGTTATACAGAAGATATCCGAGGGACCTGTGCTGTTCGAATACAGTAATATTTCTTTCAGAAAGACTTGTTTCCAGAGTAAGTGTGGCTTCTGCACTCCCTATCAGCTGGGTACAGTTTTGGAGGCAAGCACAGTACTGTTGTTTGAAAATGCTGTGGCGATAAAGAGCCAAGTGTGGATATCTCTTTCAAGTCTGCTAGACCCAATAGCACTCTTTGTAAATACAAGTAAAGATTGATCCATTACTGTGGAGGACCACTTGTGAGTGAACATGAATGTCTTGGTTTTCTTCTTCCTCCTCTTGTGAGTTGAATTTGGGAATTACTACTTCGGAGGTTTTTTGCATTTCTCTTTAATTTTTATACTGGGGTATGGCTGAAATGGAGCCGCATTGTACCAGCTGCTTTATGGAACAAACAGACAAGTCAGGTATGTCCTGTGTTTGAGAGATCATTCTCAAAGGAGATGAGCTTTTTATACAAGAGGATAGAGTGGAAAAATGGAGCAGAAGGCTAAGGATATGGGAGAGAAGAAATCAGTACCACAGTAATGGTATTTGTAACTATGAAATTCTGAATTAACAAGAGTTAGTTTTGTTTGTCCTTTGAAAGGATTTTCTTGTGACACCCAACAGACTTCTGTTGTCTGATATATACTGAATATGCATCTGTGATGTGGAACTAGAATGTCTTGCTTGCTACGCACTTCTGTTGAACTTGCACGTAGCAGGGTCTCTGTTGCAATCAGCATGTAGTCAGAAAAAGAACATGAATGATACCTCAGTCCAAGCGAGAGAAGAAAATTGCAAGGTAGAGTGCTGTGTGTTTAAAGAAATGGGTTAGGAGGTGACCTACCTTCCAGAGGTCATTTTCAGAAGTTTATTAGATTTATTGCTACTTTACAACTGTGAGGCAAAAGCAGGGGGCCAAACTGCCTGTCACGCTGACTGGGAAGGTTGGTCCTTGCTTTGGTGCGATCCCTTATTGCATTAACTTGGAGAAGGACAAATGCAGATTTTTATTGATACTTTTTTTCCATAGGGCTGAACTAGCATAAAATTACAACTAAGGAAAAATTCTCCTTGAGAGAACTGTGATACGTTGACAGCATATTCCCCTTTCTGATAGCAATGAAAAGTCCAAGTGTCCTGACTTTTCAAGATATAGTAAGTCTTGATCTTTTCAAAGAGTTAAGTTTCATTTCTATCAAGTGGACCCGTTCTAAAATTGTATCTGTGGAAGTGACCATGGTTCTTCGTGGCTTAGTCCTTTCCAGTGAGCCATGCTGTGTGGCTTGGAGTTGTACTTGTGGAGTGTTGGTATTTTCTGTTGTTGGGGTTTGGTGGGGTTTTTTGTGTGTGGGTTGATTTTTTTGGGTTTTTTTTTTTTTTTTTTTTTTTTTATAAAAAGGGGCAAAATAAACTCCCCCCCAAGATTAGAATTGTAATGTTTTGGGTTTGTTTTGGTTTGTTTGTTGTTCGTTTTTTTTTTCCCCTTTCACTTAAACAGGAGGTAAGCTTTGTTCTGAGCATGGCAAAGTGACGCTGGGCACAGCACCATCCGTCATTCTGCCGTTTTGCATTGCAGTGCTGGGTACATCCTGAGATATCTTCTGTATGCAGAGCTCAGGGGTATAGCTGGAAACCGTACATTCAGCACAATTCCATGACGACCCTGACTGACACTGACTCATTGCTTACGCTGACGCCTGCTGCTGTGTCCTACGCAGAATGGCCTGTGGACATTTGTGTGACCCTACGCAGGTTGAAGAACTTATGTCTCCACGAGATTTCCATCTGTAACGGTTTGACAGATGTAGTCATGCTCACCGTTGGCCTCCCTTAACATGGCAGGGCAAGGGCTGCTGCAGTCCCACCACGTCCACACGTAGGAATTTTTGGATGCTGTGTATCAGATACCAGTGTGGTGGTTTTTTTTTTTTGTTGTTGTTGTTCAGTTGAGGATTTAACGATGGTATATAAAGCCCGTTCTCCCAAAATAATAGAGAGTCTTGAGCTCTTACAAATGAAGAAGTGCTTGTATAGAATATATTTACAAGGCAGGACTATATATGAATTGGGTGTTATATCTGTATGGATTTCACTCTTTTCTTGTATCCATTTTTGCTTTTTGATTCTCGTTTAAA